TTGGAGTATTATCTTGGTAGTTTTACGTTTTTTCTGAGTAGTATTTTTGCAAAAAAAAATTATTGCTTACGTCCCTTAACCATTATGAGAGACTGCAGTTTTTATGCTTAAAACTTTTTTTCGGAGTCACTCCGAATATTTTCTAATTTTGTTAGTGCTTGTAAAAGTGTGCTAAATATATAACTGAAGCTATTTTAATAAATCAAAATAGAAGTTTTTTAGCTGTTCCAATTTTCGGAAAGATTAATTTCAAATTATAGTATTTAAAACATACATACAAACCAACCCTAATTTCGGTAACAAATTTTACTTTTAAAATATCATTGAAAAGCTAAATTTATAATACTTACATATGTAATATATATTAAAAATAAAACATAAAAAAATTAAATAATAATTTTTTTTAATATTAAGTAATTTGCTGCTTTCAATCTTTTGTTTCAGAGTTACCCCGCAAATTCGGAGATGACCAAAATCGTTTAATATACCAAATAACTACTTATTTTTTAGTACTAAGTAAGTTTCTGGTTTCAATCTTAAATTTTGGAGTTACTCCGAAAATTCGGAGTTGACAAAAAGGGGTTAATATACAAAATAAATACTTTTTTTCGCAATATCAAACTAGTTTCTAGTTTCAATTATTAAAAATACAATATTGCTAAGCAAATTTAATGAAAAAAAAAACATTCTAAAACTTTGATTTAACAGCATACTAAGCAGACTTCAAATGCAAAACTTTATAACATCATTGGTAAACAGAAGTAGGCTTATTCAAGTTTAACCAGCTACATATGTTGCTAATCCATCCTACTTACACAGTTAAAGTTTTCTAAGCTTTCAAGTGAAAAATCATACTCCAAGTGTCAAGGAGCACAATGTACTCGTAGATATATTTTTTCAGCTTCCCAGCACCACGCTGAACCACAACAATTCGCCCATTAGGGAAAATAAGCATCACATTTCGATTTTTCAAACGCATTTAGTTAAATGTTCGCTGCTTTTTCTACGCATACTTTTTCACACTTTCATTTTTCGTACTTTTCAGAATTAATAAATATGAATGCCGCCAACTCCCCAAAGCAATATTTTATGTAAGGTTAATGGCATGCGTTGTTGAGCTGTTTGCATGCAGATTTAAATATCCTGACAAAGGTTGTGTAAATATACATTTTTTTTTAATTTTTTTTTTATCATTTCACCTTTTTCCGCTCGCCATTCGCTGAAGTGGCAAATAAATAAACAGAAAAGTATTTCGAAAACGAGAAAAGGTCATGGCGTTAAATTGTTGAGGGGCGTGATTTTTTCGCAGGATTAAATAAAATAATTAATTGTTGATGTGTTGACTTTAAGCTAAATTGATTAAAAACTTTTATGAAATTTTCGAAAAGTTTTAATCTCAAATGGTTTCAAATTTTTACACAAAAAAATTAACACGAACCATGCTTGAAATATCTAAATTTAAAATTTATATAACTTAACTTTAAGCCAAGTTTCAACGGCCAACGATAGGTTTGGTTTGATTACAGAATTTTATTTTTAATTATGAGGTCACCTGATAAGAGCTAAGAACGCTAATAATCGACTGACAACTATATTTCGATTTCCATTACATCATTTTCAACTTTTCAACAACACTCATGCCTTGTCTACAGAATATTCGAAACTCAACAGCGAACCGTTTCCACCTTGGATCTGCCAGTTTTCAATATTTTCGCTGTTTTCAAAAACGTGCCAAATACAATAATGTTTAGAAGAGATATAGTTACAAAAACTTTTAGCAAATCGATTTTGCGATTATTTAAATATTTTCGGAGTTATTCGGAGTAACTTCGAATTTATTTTTTATAAACTAATAACGACTTTTATGTCTTACAACATATGTTTGGAACATTTCTCCACTTTCGGAGTTTTTCGGCTACTCTGAATTTGACTCATCTATTGAATTTTCACTTAGTAAACATAAATAAAAATTTGGTAAAAAAAATTGTTATATTTAACTTATATGTACATATATTGATCGATATTCGTGCAAAATCTTATAATTTCTACAGCGTTTTTATCGAATTTAATAAAATAGTTGCGAAATGTTATATACTATGTACTCGTATATTAATCTACATCCGCTGTACATACAGATACGATTTACACCCAATTCGTAAATGTCATTAATAGCACAATCATAAAATATGCTGCCATTTTAATTATAATGAACACACAATTATATAAAATATAATTTCAAATTCATACCTTGCCCTAAAGCACACACAGTCCTATACTCATATATGCGTATATAGTAGTATAAACATACACCGTTTGTACTCCCGTTATCTGGAACCGAACTTCAACTAATGATTAATACTAAATAAATTTCTAATCAAATTTGTTGCTTATCAACAAATTGAAGGTAATAAAACGGCCTCAAAATTACCACCCAACTCAACTAAAATACTCATAGGTATATAAAGCGATAGGTAGATAACAGATATATATATAACATACCTACACACGAGTATATCCATACTGACATGTATTTAAACGATTTAGGAGTGCTGCTGATAAGCCAGATAAACATAGCTGAGATAAACGAACTCAAATATCTACTTTATATATATTTATATACGGCCACATGCATATATAAATATTATATAAAATCTATATATAATTCTGAGTAATTAGTGCGATAAGCGTAGTTAAGTGAAACGTCATTACCTGTGCGATGGCAAGCGGTGGACGGACATGCATACGTAGGTAGTAGGTGAAAATGTTTTAATTGAGTGGGAGATCGTTGTGTTGAATACCATATATATTGCATTTACGTACACATAACGGCGTATAATGGGTGAGTAATTGCCAATCATCAGTTCGGTATGCGCGTCCACCTGCTTTCTCTGCTTTACTCCGTGCCCACATTGTCTATAGTTGGAATGGGCGCTTACTCATAGAGTGGGCTGTGTTTGCGTTATCTTTGCTTGTAAGAATTTATCTTACCGATATGTGTGATATGAACATGTGTGTATGTGTGTGTATATATATACACGCATATGCCGATGATTATTGCTTTTTGCCTCGAATTTTGAAATTCATTGAAAAGTGGTATTTAATTATTTTTATAGCATTTTCTGATTCGTTTATCAGTAGCATTTTTTGCTATTACTGCTATGAAGTGCTTCTACTGCATTTTCCTATCATCACTTGCCATCACACATTTGTAAATTCTTGTTATTGCTTCAAATATTTGCAAATTTGTTTGATGCCTTAAATTCTAAGGCACTATTACTTTGAAGGAATTGTTAAAAATTTTGCGTTCAAACTTGAGCTTTACGAAACACTCCACATATATTCGATATTTGGTCTTTGTAAAATTCAACCCAGTTTCGGTCTTCATAGCAAATACAAGTAACACGCTGTTTCGAATAAACTTTTTCGAATTACTGCAGCAAATTCACCAATATATTTACAAAATAGAAATTCACAGAATCAATCGCTTAAGAGCGATCTCTAAGAATTCATCTTAGTGTTTATAACACTATATTACTTCATATCTAGTTTAAGTTGGGTTAGGTTACAAGTTCGAACCAAAACGTATGCCACTTGAACGTCTGAGAACAAATCGACCATGCTCTTCGAACCTTCCACAAATTTTTGAGGCGGCTGCTATTAATTCGGCCTATTTCGCCAGATTCGCTGAAAATATGACTGCCGAGATGTTTCCACCTGCCGGGATGGATACCACAGCTTACTCTATACAATTTTGACAGTTAACGTCCGACAAAATCTTGAGCAGTACCGCATATACGCCTACGCGCCAAAATGACCTTTGCTAAGGCAAGTAGTTCACTAAATCTCCTGCGCTAGATCAGCAGCTTTTCGAAATCGCATAGCAGCTAGTGGTTAATCAGGTCCATAGGTCCAGCTCTAGACCTCGTTCCCAATCCGACGTGATCAGGACAAGAGTGCCGATACCGCTACGAACACGCACCCAGACCAGTCTGATAATAAAGTATCTACTTTCTGTTTGTAGCTGTATGAACAATTTAATAGTTTACGCCAAGTTTCCATACACCCAGTCCAGCAAGGTCTATGAATCTCATGTCTATGTTTTTACTGCGTGCTTTGAAAGTACTTACAGCGTCCTAGTTTTAATCTTATATTATCTTCAATAATGAAATCATTCGGTAAGTCCTTCACTAAATTACTTTTAAGGCCATCAGAACTTGGTTCCTTTCGGGAATCCCCGTTATAAATAACCTGTTATCGAATTTTAAAGATCGCTAGGTAGCTTTTAAGCAAATAATAATAATTTTAAGAATATTCTGGAGTGTGGTAACTTTTTAAGAGTTAAAAATCTAAAGAGTAAAAGACATGTCATAGCAGCTTCTACTACTGGGTATGGCATGGAACTTCGTGCCAAAGTTTTGAGTTATTCCTTCGAAGAATCATTGTTTCTGGTCTTCAGCTCTTCATAATTAATTTTTGAAAGAAGAATAGTCAAAAAAGACAATTTAACGCCAAAAACTTTGAACTACAACCCTCTTTAAAAAAATTTAAAACAAACACATAATTGCATAGTATTCTGCGTTAATTCCTTAAACCATTTTATGACTTTTTTGTTCCCAAATTCAACACATTTAATATTATCTTTTGTATACTAAATTCTAATATTGAAATCTTTTATATACAAAACTATTGGTTCAGACCTCAAATAAGCATGCTACGCTCTACAATAGCGCATTTCCCTGCACGAAAACATTAAAAAAAGCACGCCAAAATATTCCTAAAAACACCGATTTGTTATATTTTTGAGGCGCACACACATGCATGTGTGTGTGTGTATCAACACAACAGCCACATTACTCGCATAAAATCAAACAAATTGTGATGCCTGCTCACATGTGCTGACGCTTTGTCTAACCGTTTTTTGTATATTTTTAGCGCTAACACTAGCTGCTCACCGCCACCACCACCACCGCCCAGGCGGCAATTGAAAGCCCGACGAAGCAACAACAAACATTTGAGCCAACAACCTAGCGCAAGCATGTGTCGTTGGCCGTGGCTAAGACGAACAGGCGCACAGCAAAGCACAGCTAGCAACTACCAAAAGCGACAGTCAACAACCAACAGCGAAGAGCCGCCAGCTCACCGCACAGCCAAAGCGATGACGCGCTGTGAAAACTCGCAAACAAACGCAAAGGCATTAAGAAAAACACACAACAACGACAACAATAACAATGGTGATGGCAAATGGTTGCGCCAGCAACAAGCAACAAAAGCAAAGAAAGTGCTAGTCAGCGGCCGGGAGAGTGGGTGCTTGCTGTCGCGAGCGTGTTTGTTTCGATTTGGGAGTAATGCTGCCGCCAGTGCCGGCGCTACAGTGGCTGTGTGTTAAATGCGCGCCTCGCCTGTCAAAAAAGCGCTCAACGTTGCTCAGTGTGCGGCGTTGCTCAGCTGTTGGCCAACAAGCGCGCTCACTACTCATTCCCAGTGCCGAAATAGCACACAAAGCACGCTATTTGTGCCGAAGCTAGCCAGCGAGCTGGCGCAGAAACTAAACAAAGAAAAGCACGCGATAAACGGGTGAAAATCAAATACGTATTCTTTGTGTTTAATTTTTGCGAAGAAGTGCTAATTTTTCTATGCGCGTTCGTACCGAGTGGCAAAGTGGCAGCTGATGAAGTAATATATTGGAAATTTTCGATTTTTTAGCAGTTTGGAGCAAGAAAATCACGTTTGGAAGAGTTCTAAATACAAATCTGGTGCAGTGGAAATGAAAAGTGAAAAAAATGAAAATGTGTTCTATAAATATACGCTTTAGTATACAATACACAAGGCATATAAATAAACGGAAAGAAATAAATTCAATGTGGAATTAACTCAAAGTGATTTTGTGATTCGAAATAAATATTTTAAAATTTCTAAACAAAACAAAATAGAATACTGTGTAGTGAAAAATATTTCGATAAAAGTTCGTTGGCAACTTTATAATAGTAACGGCAAAATCAAGAATATACAAAAAAAATAATAAAATTATTTTTAAAAACATTATAAAAAATGTAAAAAATATATTATATTTAAAAATATGTACATATATAAAAAAAATAAAAAAATTAAAAAAGTACATATATCAAAAAAAAATTATCAAAAAAATATAAAATTATTTATTAAAAAATAATATAAAAATGTATAAAAAATACATAAAATATATAAAGTCGTAATATACTGGCAATTCGAAGATATTAATTAGTGAAGTGAAAATATATTTTCAATTAAGGCCAAACAACTAAAAAATTTTTACTTTAATAATTAATTATAAATAATTATGGATTAATGCAATCCATAGATGAACGAATCGTGCATAAAAAAGTGTTTTTTACCATTTTATTATATTATATTTATAAAAAATTAGCTAATAAAAAATATATGAAAATAAAGATAAATAAATACATAATAAAATAAATAAATATAAAAGATAAATAAACAAAACAAAATTAATAAAAAAACAATGTATCTAATTAATTAAAATAAAGATAAATAAATAAATAATAATAATTAATAATGACACAATGTGTCTAATTCATATGAAAATATAACTTAAATTAAATTTAAATTTTTTTAAACTAATTTAAAATGTATAACTAAAATTGATAAATAGAAAATTATATGACAGCACTAATAAATCAAGTGAAAGCTTCGCATAATGATAATGAAAAATTTAATGAAACCCAAGAAATTAAATTTAATTGAAATAAATACAAATTAAAAATACAAAAATCAGAAAACAACAAAAAAATATATAAAAAAAATAAAATACATTATACCTTCCTTAAATGTTGCCCTTAAACGTTGCCTTGAAAACCATGCTAAATTTTGTGAAGATAACTCATCAAATAAAACAGTTTTCCATACAAGGAATTGAGTTCTATCATTCAGTTTGTATGACAGCTATATGCTATAGTGGTCTGGTCTAAATTATTTTTTCGGAGATTATACCGTTACTTTGGCAAATAATCCGTGCTGAATTTTGTGAAGATATCTTGTCATATTATATATAAAGGTTTTGTGTATAAGCAATGGATTCCGATCGTTCAGCAAATGATCGGGTTATTTCTAAAAAAAGAATGTGTGCAAAATTTCAGATCGATATTACTTTTTAAACTAAACCATTTAAAAATTCAAATCTACTATTCATAACCTTCAAGTTATGCATTTTTGTTGTATAGATGCTTATATCAGTAAATATATTGGAGATATAGAAAAAAAAACACAATAACAGTAAAAAATACAAAATAATATAAAAAACCTAATATGAAAGCCTTAAACTAAAACAAAAATAACAAAAAATTAAAAAAAAAGAGTTAACAAACATGAATTCTAAAGATATTTATAAAAAAGTATTAAAAAATAAAATAAATATACCTTACACAAAAACTTGAAATTAAAAATAAGAAAAAGTAATTATAACACAAAAATTAAAATTAAAAATAAATAAAAACTCACTTTAATTAACAAATTAATAGGTACTAAATATATTGAAAATAAATTTCGAATTAATAAATAACAACAACTAATTAATGAAAATATTAAAAATACACAATAAAATAAAAACTCTAACAGGAAAGCCTTAAACTAAAATAAAAATCACAAAAAAATTAAAATAAAATTTTCAAATATCATCTAAAAATAAAAAAATTTAAAACATTAATACCAAAAATAATTTTAAAAAATAATAATACAATATAAAATAAATAAACCTTATACAAAAACATGAAAATGAAAATAAAAAATTTAATTTAAAAGTCAATGGAAATAAAATTAAAATAAAAAAATTTTAATTAAATTTCAAAATTAAAGACACAAAATAAATAAATATACCTAATATAAAAACTTGAAATTAAATATGAAAAAAAATTTTAAAAAAAATTTGCAAAACAAATAAACTTTCAATAATCACTAAACTAAAATATAAAAAAATTAACTAACAATTAAAATTAAAAATACAAAATAAAGTATAAAAAACCTGAAATAACAACTAAAAATTTAAATTTAAAACAATATTAAAAGCTACCAACACATTAAAAAATTAAATTAAAAAAAAATTTTGAAATTAGAACCCAAAAAATTATAAATCAAAACATTATTAAAAACTAAAACACCATAATTAAAATAAAAAATATTGATACTACCACTCATAATTTCAGTCATTAAATTGAAAATAAAAAAATTTAAAACACAAAAATATTAAAACAAAAAAAAATTTTATAAAAATTCTGAAATTGAAAGCAAAAAACAAAAATGTTTAATATAGAAAAATAAAATTAAAACTTAAAATTGAATATAAAAAATATTTTTCAAGTTCTTACTTAAAGATTTTTTCTTGTTTAATTTAATGCTTCCACTTATCATTTTAGTTTTAGACCGCAGTCAATTATCGCAGCGTGAAACATAAATTTAATAATTTAGTGCAAACAACAAGATATTCAAAAACAAGCCATGCATATAAATAATTAAGTGTACACATATATTAATTGAAAATATTTTATATTAAAAAGCAAACGCAACAAATAATAACAACAAAAACTCGACATTCAAATTCAACAACGCAATTCCTTCTGCGTCAAAGCACCAACAATCAATACAACAAACAGCCGAGCACCCTTGTCGCCGCTAACCCACAACCCAACACACACAAACACATAAAAACACATACATATGTGCTTAAGTAACACGCCAGTTGTGTGCTACGTACTAATTTTAAGACAAATACAAAGCAAAAATAAATCATAATAAAAAAGAGCGTGAAAAACAACAACAAAACGACCTTCATTGCAAATAAGTAAAATTAAAGAAAATCAAATAAAAGTTTATATAGCGAAATTTAGCTGAAATCAATTTAATTATAGCACTTAGAAGTTATAACAATCAGAGAAGTTTGATAAAGTATTGTGGCGGCAGGTGAGAAGTGAAAAGCAAGTGGTTGCTTATCGGTGAATACAACAACAGCAAATCATTAGTCATTGTCTCTGTCGACTCTTCGCACTTTGAATAGTTAGTAGGTGCAAGCAAACATCGGCGTTGAAAGTACAAGATCCAGTTACGGTACTATAAAGGGCGCTCTTCGTGGTAAAAAAAATATAAAATTTATATTAAGAAAATTGTCCCGGTGCAGTGTTTGCAGATAAGCCGTCAAAATAGGTACCCGCTTGCGTGACAATAACCCCAACAAAGACAACAACAACATGATATATATTGATGACTCCGAACCGGAAGGTGGTAAGTGCATTTACAATAAAAACAATTTTATTACACACAATATTAAATTAAAGCTAAATATTTAGATAAATGCACTCAATACATTTCATCAAAAAAATCCCGCTTTAAATTTTCACATTTGCTTAATATGACAAAGAACCTCAACATTAACATAAATGATAAACTAAATTATGTCAAAACCATAAACTCTCTTTATATATGTAGAACTTTTGTTGGTGCGCTTTCTAAGAGCCAAATATACTCCGTAATATAAATTATTGATTAGTAGCAATTTATGTAGGTATGATGACACTTACATACATTCATAAAAAAGAGTTGTCTTAGTTTCGTAGTAACTCCGAATTTTCGGACTCTTCGTAATATAAGAAAAACTTGTTGCTATTTAAACATACAAGCAAAAAATATAGCCTCACTAATTTCGGAGTAACCTCGAATTTTCGGAGTTATCGTAATAAATAAAAATATTTTGAAGGCTGCTGCCTGACAATATAATAATTAAAGATAAATATACGAGTTTCAGAGCAACTCCAAATTTTCGAAGTCTTTGAAATTTAACATACAATCTTCATGCCATTTTAAACTTAGTAATACTCCAAATTTTTAAACATTACTTTGATATATTTAGGAATAAGAAATCATTCTGAATTAAAGGAAATCATGTTTTACAAAATAATGCTTTTTTTATGACTCCGATGTGGCTCCAATTTTTTTCGGAATCAAGAAAGCGTGCAAAATTTATGCTTCTGCAGTATATAATGTTACATATACATACATACATATGCACATTTATAAATGTACATAAATACCATATGTCCATAACCGTTTAAACATTTTTCCCGGTTATCAATTGAAAATAAAGCTCGGCGGTATTACAAGTGAATGTATTTTATAAAATGTTAAAGTTCTGTTTACGCTACAACGAAGCTAAGATGATATTTGATATTTTCGGATCAAATTCGGAATAACTCCGAAAATTCGGAGTAATCATCTATAGATTTAAAACTTTGAATAAAGTCGCAATATTGTCATTATATTTATCTTACACTTATCTAACTAAAAATTTGCCCCGATTTAACATGAAAATGTTTATTTTGTTGACCTAAGACTTTAAATAAAAATTCCGTAAAACTTTTTGTTAAAGTATTCATTTCATTTCAATACAATCTTTATTACATAGTGAGTTTTTAGCCTATTTTCAAGAACACAGTAAGCTCACAGTAAGATTTTAAAATTTCGGAGTAACTCCGAAAATTCGAAGTCAGCAGAAATAGACCTAAAACCTTAATTAAAGTAAAAATAATTTTTTTTTATAACTATTTAACCAAGAATTGCCCCGATTTTATATGAAAATATTAATTTTGTTGACCTAACACTTCAAATAAAATTGCCCCAAAATTGTGCACGAAAACACTAATTTGATTTCATCGCTGTCGAATAATTTTGGTTAGTCGATTTTGACGAATATCATTACAGCACTTAAATACTAAATTAACTACATAAGAACCATTCTAGGCAAAATAAAAATGTATATAAATTCCACTTTTAAATTTCAATTTATGGCGGAAAATGTCATCGCATTGAAAACTCATAAAAAATACATTAGAAAAAAGAGCGGTGCACGCTAGTCAACGTCGGAAAGACATAAATTTTAATAAAGTATTTAGCTAAAGACAATTTACAAATTAAGATAAGACAGCGCAGTGAAACGAATAAAGATAAAGTACGAGTATAGTAGAAATAAGAAAGGCAAAATATTTGCAAAACTCGCACTTTGTCCTCGCGTAAAGGACAGATAAACGCGGCGTTAAAAAGAAATAAATGAAAAAACAAACAAATATGATGCAAGAAATGATTGTGCTAATAAATTCTAAGCATTTCCGATGCAAACAAAAAAGCAGTACAAAATAATATAAGGAAAAGGGAAAAATAAATGGCACATACCCAATTTGAACTGCAAACAGCTGCAAGGCCAAGGCAACAAAAGCCGAAAGTGAAGTGTGAACGAATAGAACAAAAAAAAACAAAACACGAATAAGAAGTGTGAAGTAAAAAACCTAAAATTGAAGGCGGCTTTGCAAGCAACCGCACTGACGCGTCTCTTCTTATGACGTCCCACTTTAAGCGCTCAAGCTTCAGCTCAAGCTAAGCAAGCAAGCTAAAATTTGTAAACGGAAATGAAAACTTATAATACTTCTCATTTCAGATTTGTTTTGTTTTTTTTTTCTTGCTTTTGTTGTTTTGTTATTGTTACGTCTTATTTGTGAACGGTTTATGCAAATACGAAACTTTTAAAACTGTGTCAGACAACTTAGGCAGAAAGTTTCACAACTTGTGCGCGCATAAAGAGTTAAAGTCTGCAACGGAAATAAACGATGTGGGATAAGCGCCAAATGTCCTGGAGGCGAGAGGTGTGCGCTTCCGAAATTAATGAGTGGGAGTGCCTAATATGGGATGCTTGTAAATACGAAAATTAATTGCCAGTAACAAAAATATTTTCACTTCAATTTCGACCAAAAACAGTGTGCGTTTGTTGTTTTACTTGGTTTGACCCTAATTTCATTTGAATGGGAAATTTTCTGTTAGTTTAACTAAAACGAGTTTGTAAGTTAGTAACTTTGAATTTAAATAAATAGAAGTTGTCCAAATACTGGCAAATAAAGCCATAATACTCTTCACAAATACAAAATAACGTTGATCGTTCATGTTGTATGACAGCTATATGCTATAGTGACTCGATCTGAACAATCTCTTCGGAGATGGCAACGTTGCCTTAAACAAATACCAAGTTTCATGAAGATATCTTGTCAAATGAAAAAGTTTTCTATACAAGCACTTGATTCCGATCGTTCAGTTTGTATGGCAGCTATATGCTATAGTGGTCCGATATCGGCCGCTCTGACAAATTAACAGCTTTGTGGAATATTACTTCGGATTATTATTGTTGAGAGGTTGACTTCGTTTCCTGCGAGGACTGCTGAAACCGTTTGAATATACCGTATTCGATATACGAGAACATGTCGAATTTTTGAAGGGATAACTGTCAAATTCGTTGTCAAATCCGTCATCAAAATAAATCACATGTTTCTTTTAAAGTAAGCTAAGTTTGGTTAATTACTGTGCGAGGACTGTATAGAGAATTTAGGCTTTGGTGCAACAACTCTACAAGAAGTTCTGTGTAAAACAACTCCTAAACATCCTAAATTACCCTTTTTGTACGAGTATATATGCAAAGAAGTGTTGCTGCAAAACATATCACGGCTAATGCCAAATCAATCGTCTATCCACGATTTGTTAAAGAAATCAAAGAAAAAATCCTAAACTAAAATAAAAAGTCACGGGTTGAACGTCTGTATAAAATTTTAGACCTGTATAAAGGGTATATGTTTTTGTAGCCTAGACGACTGTAGAGAGTGAGATCAACACCCAAAGAAATAGGTATTTAGTATTATCAAGCCGGTATTATTCCAACAGCTCGAAATTTTTTTTTTTTTTGGAGTAACTTGGCACTTTTGCGAGTAACTCCGAATTTTTCGGAGTAACTCCGAATTATGCAGATAAATTAAAAAAGGCTTAAAACTTAAAAAAATCATAATATTTTTTTAAAACTATTTATTCCTAGTACGAGCTTTGATAAAAAATGATATGTTAATACTATATATAATTTTATAAGATTTATAAATTTAATATTATCTGTTTGGTTTATGCTATATAGGCGTTATGCCGCACACTCAAACTTTTCGGAGTTACTCCGAATTTTTCGGAGTAATTCCGAATGATGCATTTAATCAAAAATAGGCTTAACACTTAAAAAATCATAATATATTTCTTATAACTACAACTTTGTTCGAGTTTTGATAAAAAATGATATGTTAATAATATATAATAAAAAAATTTTCTATATTTTAAAGATATAAATCTTATAAATTTTATACATTTCTGAAAATGTTTGAAATGTGACCTTGGAATGTTTATCTAAAGGAAGATATAAAAAAAGGGGCAAAGACGAAGCCTTCTACGAAAGCACCGATTCTACTTAGTCAAAAGTCAGTTGAACGAAATTATGCCCATTTATTTTTGGATTCAATTTCAACGCCAGCCAAACCACCTTTAACTCATAGCAACAATTTTGGTCCACACATATACAATTTCATTGTCAAGCCTTTGTAGCAAGCATATAATAGCATAAGTTCATTGTTGTATGGCCTGCGGCGCCAACTAAATTAAGTGTTAATGGGATCAAAGGTGTTTTGTAAGAAAATTTGTCGCAAACACTTTCAACGTTTTTCTTTTTTGCTGAAATTATTGTTGGATGTTGCGATATTGTTGTTTACATTGTTATTGTTTACACACTTACAAAGTACACACATACAGAGAAACTTTTACGTAAACCCTTTGCGCTTTGAGTTGTCTTGTTTAGCCTTGACAAAGTGACGGTACGGGGGTGTGACGCACGTGACTTTGCATTCAAAGCATTGCATTACAAGTTTCTTTCATACGAAAACATTAACAGTTATTTGCAGCAGTTATTGCGCTCACCAGCCTGACTTAGCAAAGGTACTTTCAGAGCTTTTGTGAAGCTGCTGTATGTCAAGCCTGCTTTGTGATTTTGTAATTTCTGCGTTTAATGGCCATTTTCTGCTAATAACGGTAAATAATAAAGTTTCGCAAACAAAGAAGACGCACAAAAGCCAAGAACCAATGCCACATTGTTACTCTTTATGGCAAAAATGCGATGATTTAGTGTTGAAGCAACAATAGTTTTATTCGAAAATATGGAATGGCTAGCTATTATTGTACTTAGTTGAAACATAATTTTCAATGGATTTTTTCAATTTATTGACTAATTTGTTTGATAAATTGGCAAGATGGCTATACATGAATATGAAGCCATTAATAAATCAAGAATGTTTAGTTGCCATTGTAAAGGCTTAAAATATTTACCATGGAATACATATTATTGCTAGTGCTTTTTCTTCTAGCTAAAGCTCAAAATGTCCTTC